CCCTCAGGAAAACATCATGTCTTTACCTGTTCCCTAATAAGAAAGTCCAGTGTTTCTCAATAAAAGCACAAATGTCTTCTTTCCATCTGAAGTACCCCTGCCGGCCCGTTCCTTCCAGAGACAAGTTGTACATTGCCAACATGACAACCTGGAACAGAAAGTGTTGGACACAAGTGAATCCCTTCTGCTTTTTCTGCTGAACAGACCCCCACAGATGCCACACACACACAGATCTTTTCTCCCTCATAAATATCTTATTTTTGCAACATCTCATAGGCAACTTCTGCAATCCATCTTCTTCCTGGTTTTGTGCTGCCTGTTCTTGTCTTTCTATTGTTAGATGCACATTCTTCCAGAGATTTCTCCATCCCAGGGGAATAACAAGCTGCCTAGTTATGCAGGTTTGTGCTGAGACACAAGAATTGTGCAGCTCTTGTATAAATGAATTACAGTACAGCTGGGGTCTGAATGTAATGTGGAGGTAGGGAAACAGTCTTTCAAATAAATAAAAAGAAAGTCACAAGTAATCCTGCTATCCAATACATCAGAAACACTGTGACAATGGTCTTTCACACACTTCACAACCACACTCACTCTGACCTTTTACATACCCAAACTAAAGGGCAGCTTTGAAAAACATCTCATCTCCTTCGAGTAAATCCTAGGTGACCAACTGTTAATTACGTTTACTTAAATAATTTCAATTAACTTATTAGAACAGAACTAAAGTCAGCCAGGCTGGGATCACCTTTCAACAATCACACAGCCTTGGTTTGGTACTACTTCCAATAACAACTTGCATTTCACCCTCAGAGGAGTCTGAAATCTGCTTTTCTCAGGGAGATGGGTCTCCTCACAGTGGACCTTGGCTTTCTGGGATGCATTGTCAAAGATGCCAAAATGAGGAAACGTGGACAGTTTTAACGTCCCCTTCGCCCTATCTCTACCTCTCAGTTTGATAACTGGGATTTTGTGCGTTTTAAAGTCACGTGGGACAATGTCTAAGGATGTCAAAAATAATTCTCTTTTCAACTGGCTAAAGATATGGATTTGTTGAGGCCACATACTCTGAAAAAAAAAAATCCAGAAATCACTGTGCCCATTCTTCCTGCTTCAGGTAAGTTAGTTGGACCATTTCTCTCAATTCCACTTACCCAGAAGCAGCAGCAGTAGCTCTGGCTGCTGGAAGCCCAGGGAGGTGGTCACAGCTTTCCTCCTCACCCATTTTCATTTTGTCTGCCCCTTCCCCATGGCACTCTGAAGAGACCTGAGCAATGCCAGCAGCCTTTGCTTTCCCAGTCTGGAATCTGGTGAAACTCTGCCAGTCTGCCAGCACAGAGCCCTGCCTAAACTAACCTTTTTCCCTGCACTGGCCACCACAAGAAAGCAGTGCAGGAGTTACAATCAGTGTCTCAAATTACCTTACATGACAATAAGGCTGAGTGCCTATGGGTAAGAATCAAGGAAAAGCCAATAAGGCTGATATTTTCAACAGTCTGACAGCTTGTCCTCAGGACAGGTGGCCTCCTGAGCTGGAAGATGGGGACAGGGAGCAGAATAACAATCCTGTCATTCAGGAGGAAGCAGCTGGTGACCTGCTGAGCCTCTCAGATGCTCACAAGACTATGGGAGCAGATGGGATCCATCCTAGATGCTGAAGGAGCTGGCAGAAGAGGTCACCAAGCTGCTCTCCATCATTTACCTCCAGTCCTGGCTCACCAAGAGGGTACCTGATGGCTGGAGGTTGGCCAGGGTGACAGCCATCCCTAAGAAGGGCTGGAAGGAGGATCCAGGGAGCTCCAGACCTGTCAGCCTGACCTCAGTGCCTGGCAAGGTTATGGAAGAGATCATCCTGAGTGCCATCACTTGGCACCTATAGCATGGATTCAGATGGGACAGGTCCCCAGATGATCTGTTCAGGCTGGACATTAGGAAGCAATTGCTCACAAAAAGAGTGACTGGGCATTGGGATGGGCTGCCCAGAGTGCTGGTGGAGTCACCATCCCTGGAGGTGTTTAAGGAAACCCTGAATGCTGCACTCAGTGCCATGGTCTGGTTGACAAGGTGGTGTTAGGTCATGGGGTGGATTTGATGATCTCAAAGGTCTTTTCCATCCTAGCTGATCTTGTGATATTTTATGGGACAACACACCATTACAGGCTCAAAGAATGCAAACAGATGTTATTTTGATTGCTCAGGTGTGCAAATGACTGGAACAGTGAATTCCAGCTAGTGCACAGGCAGCCAGGTTGGAGCTTTATACCCAGGGAGCTGGCAAGCTTTCTGTTTCTATGTTGCCACCTCACCAGTTTTACATTTTCTCAGACACAAAAAACTGTTCATGCCTAGAAGCCAAATTGCATTTATTTTCCAAATAAAGCAATTGCATTGCTTTTCCAAACCTGCTTGAAGCCATGAATTCATGAGCAACATAAGGGGAAGGGAAAAAAAAAAGGAAAGGAATGTGGTTTGTATTATTCTCTTTCAATTTCCCTGCCAAATGCTGAAGTTCTCATGTGCAGGCAATCCTCAAGCTAATTAATTTCTGAAGTTCATGCAAATGGTCCTTTGTTACCAATACCTGATCCTCCTTTTCCAGGTAGCATGTACACAACAACCAACAATTTCAGAAAGTCCCACGGCAGTTGTGCTGGCACAAACATTTCACTTACTTGTTGCCATGTTAATCTCAGGCGTTCAAACTGCTCCTTCCCATCTTCTGAGCAATCAGAGCAAGTAAATCTGAAAAAGTTATCTCCTTTGAGGTAGCTGAGCTGTTCTCTCAGTTGACCTAAAATGAAAAGGTCAAAATCAATCTTTTGGCCCTTTTATAGGAAGAAGTGCTGCAAAAGAAAATTGGATTTCTTCCAAGATCAGGTTTGTCTGAACAAAAATTACAGAACCACCTGTAAACCCCCATGCAACCAAAGTTACAGGTTTTAATTCCATGTTTCTACAGCAGAGGAAAAAGAAATCAGGGCTTCTACACTCACCAGGAGTTAATTTACACAAACATGAACAATTGAAAAATGACACTGGAGGACAGAGAAACACTGTTAAGACTAGAGTGTTTCTGGAAAGTCCCACCCAAAAGATGTTTCTCGACAAGGATGTCATCTTTTTTAATGTATAATTTTATAATTTTTAACATATGGATATCCTGCTTCCATACTGAATTACAGAATTCAAGTTGCAACTGCATCTGGTGGGGGGAAAACCCCCTCACACTTGGTAAATGAAGAGAATTTCTAGGTGGCAATTCAATGTAATAAAGTGATTATTTGCCTGAGCGCATTGGCCATTTTCACATGAGCCATGTGGACTCTCTAGAACTGAATTATTAGGAAACAGCACAGTATCTCCCTTTGGCAGCTCGTTTACTCTGCACGTTTGTACGTGGCTACCGTTGCTTTGCAACTGGCCTTTTCTGCTCCTTGGATTTGTTCCACAGCAACTGCAGAGAGGAGCATGTTTGTAAAATAAAACAAGTTGAGTGCTAAATCAAGTGAGAGTGTTAAATCAAGTGCTCCACGTGAGATAGCTCATGCTACCTTTAACTCTGCTTCATTTTTTTCTATTAATACATTTCAAATTAATATTTCCCTTTAGTACATAGTAATTAAACAGTCTGGTGCTGGTTTCATTACATTAACACCTAAACATTCACTGACATGCCTTGAGAAGAGATTTTTACACTCTAAATTTCAGCAAATCCTAAGAAGGCAAAAAGGGCAGCTCTGACATATCTACACGGCAGGTGCCACCTAAAAAGTTCCTTATTTCTAACCACAAACAAATAAACAAACCCCACAAACCTCCGAATCAAATCAAACAAAAAAAAAAAACAACACCAAACATAAAAACCAAAAAAAAACCAAAGCCAAGGTGTTTATCACTATCTGGCTCTAAAGTGTAATAACAGACCAGATAATCCAGAATTTAGAATGTAAAACTGTCTGTTACACTCCTAACAGCTTATATCTGTGCCAGAGGAGAGGCAACAAATTCTGCAGCTTGCTCCTAACACCCCCCAGGGCTGGCTGCTGAAGGCTGGGCATGTTTGTAAGCGAATTTAAATTCACATTATTGGGAAAACATTAAAGTTGAGGGTTAGCCGTATGCTCCACAGATGTGACAAATCAAGAGAGAGGGGAAAAAAGTAACACACAAAGTCCTTTTCGTCCCCAGAGCTTTACAGCAAGGGTCACTATCTGAGTGAGCAGAGAGGTCAGGTCGCTTGGCCCAAGCCCCCAAATAGCTGCAAGAACTGTGAGGGTGGGCACATTTCTGAACTTTGATGTTCTCTAATAATTGAAGAAGACAATTTGAATTCCTCGGGAGAGCACCAGCTCTGGGACTGCAGTGTCTAACACAGCCCCTGCCAGCAGGCATCACCCACCGAGGCAGGACGGGGAGCAGCCCAACAAGGTGTGAAACAAGAACACAGGACAGCACAAACACCTCGCAAACACCCAGCACGGCCAGCACCACACAGCCTTACTTGCTGGGATCCACTTCTGGCACTTCTCACAGTAATAGGACATCTCCTCCATCCAGGACGTTTCCCCCTCGTCGCTGTTCAGGGAGTCCCCGCTCTGGTCGTGCGATAAATCCACGGAAGCCTGGTCCTCGGACTCCACGATCAGGAGAGTCTCCCCTTCCACCTCGCCCTCCTCCAGCCCCTCGGAGGTGGAGGTCCTGGTGGCTTCATCGTCGTGGCGGCTGAGCAGCCCACCCATGTGAACGTTGTTGGCCATCCTAAGGGAGCCTGCCCGAGAACGAGCGGCTCCTCCCCAGCCTCGGACGTGGCACAGCCAGGCCCCCACAGTGCGAGTACAATCACAGACCAAATGGGTTTGTATCTGCCCTAAAGCTGCAGAGGCTGGATTATAATTGATACAAAATAAGCAGTCTTTCACAGATTACCTCTGTTTGTTACAACACCTGCAAGGAGCGAGACGCAAACGACCTCCAAACGTCTTTAATCAAACCTCGAAGGAGCCAGGCCTGAGCCTAGGGCTGCTGGGAACGTTTTTCCATTAGCGCCTTGTCTCTCTCCTCAATGAGCTGCTTTGTCAGAGCAATCTGCTCTTCCAACAGGCGAACGTTCTCCTTTTTCTGATTCTGACGCTCGAGATCTCTGACCACGCCACTTCGCAGCCTCTGAAAGCACAAAGGACAGGGTTTATCACAGCCCGGGGGGCGCTGATCGGGACCAACCCCACCCGGGCTCCTCCCCTCCCGCAAGGGTCTTCCCACAGCAACTCACCTGGCTGCAATCTTCAGGATATCTAGAATCACTACACCAAAAATGTGTAGTGTGCAAAAAAATAATGCAAAGTGCGTTCTTTGCACTCACTTCAGATGGTTCGGTTTACTAAGTGACAAAGCTATTGAGCAAATGAATGCTCGGAGCCTGTAATTCCCGTGCCGTGCAGGATGGATGTGATCTAAAAAATTCCTGTCATCTCTGGCCTAAACCTTTACCAAATCAGAATGAGCTCCTCAAAACTTCTCTGCTCGGAGGCAATTTTGTGACAAATTGGAAACTATTTTAAGAAAAACTGGCATGTGTCTTCATTTGCTTCTTTCTGCTCATGTCTTAATCTTAAAAAAAAAAAATCCACAATCTGCTTATGCCAAACTCTTGAAAAAGCAAAGCACTTGCTTCACAAATATCCCCTTTAGCCAAAATGTTCGTTATAAATCATGAAAATATCTGACACATAAATAAATAAATACATCATGTGCAACACAACATCAGCAGCTTTCAACCTGGGGTGCCACCCCTCAATGGGTGGGAAAAGCCCCAAGAAAATCCCAGCTGCTTCCTCCACATGCTCTCTCTCTCTTACCTGGACATTTCTAATACTTTGATAATTAGGTGAAAGATCAATAGTTTTTGACCCGTTTGAATGATGCCAAAATGCACCTGCAAATAATTTATTTGAAAGCTGACCCCGAAATCACTTGAGAGGATGTCTATGACTATTATTTAACAAGTTATCACAGGGTTTAATGCCTCACCTAGCATGCCAATGACTGCACACTTCAAATGCAATCATTTCTCCTGTCAAGATCAACAGAAAGGTTTTGTTTAAGAAATAATTTTATCTTGTTAGAAAATGCACAGCCACACGTGTCTGCCAATAATCAAAACTCTCCAGAAATTAATCTAAAAAAACCTGCTCCTTCCCACCAGCTCCATCAACTGAACTCAGGCTACAAATTACTGTAATCACTGATTACTAGAAATCAGTAATTTGAAACTGAACACAAAGTTCATGGACTTATTATTATGTTACTGTTAGTTAATAACAATAAAGATGTGAGGAGATACAAGGTAACTGATCAACTGCACCAAGAATGTAATCCTTTTTCCTTCACAAAACACTGCAATCTTTCAGATGGTGGATGTATTCGCTTTGAAAATGCACATTTTGCAAAAGACACCTTTAGAATTTGAGACAAAGACCTGAAATAAAAAACTTAATCTTCTCATCTTCCTCTATTACTGGAAGTTAGCCCTGCTTGTCTTCTGCAGGCATGAAAAGCATGTGCAATCTCAAAGCACTCTGGGCCTGGAACATCAATTCATTAAAATCAAACCTTTATTAATCTGCATAAATATAAACTTGAAATAATCTCTATGCCAGGACTGTAAAATATCCACATTATTGATTTCCATTATCTAAATAACTGGATCTGTTGAACATGAAGCCACTACTGCTTGACTTGACCATGAAGAATTATAAAAAGAAAATCTCAGATTTAATTTACAAAACATAAGCTTTGAGTCTTGGAGCTTCTGAATAGGTATTAGCCTACAATGGGATTTGGGTCAAAAAGATCCACGAGGTTCAGGTGTCCCATGAAACAGCCGAGGGTGATGTTTATTCTGCAGCACATGTTCAAAGTACAGCTGCCATTAATTGCAGCTGCAGCTCGGTTTAGGAGCATTTAGCAGCTATTCCTGCCAGATCCTCAGTGCCTCAAGGCAGGCACACGGAACCAGAGAGCAGACAGCTACACAAATGTGATGTGATCTACCCAAAATATGTTAGGTGATCTACCCAGCACATCCATCAGCTCTGGAAGTGCAGAGCCATTGCTGGCTGCCACTCCAGGATCCCAACCATCCTCTCCTTGCCCTTCAGAGTGCTCTCCCACTCCTGCTCACACAAACCTGCCTCTCCTGTACCCAGACCACTCTCATCCTCCAAATTCCATCCCTCTCAAGCACTGAGAGACAATCTCTTGAGAGGAAGAAAGTACAGTCCAAGCAACAGCCAGCTCAGCTGAGCTATGGATTGGGAAGCTGAACTCTGGTGTTCTTTAACTTCTGACTGCCTCAGTGTCACTTAGGCTGTTTCTGTGTGCATTTTCTAGATTTTTTTGTATGTAAGTGGAGAAGGATCAGCTGTGTGCCCTCATATAACCCTGGGCTCATCAGCAGGGTCCAAACCAGCACATCACTGCCCACATAGCACAGCTCTATACGAACACACAGCTTCCAGTCCCAGACTGCTCTGCTCTAGGACTCACCATGGTCATAGCTGACACCTTTTGGCTGTGGGATCCCTGGCACACAGGCGGCCTGCCAGGAATTCCCTGATTCTTGTAAACATAGCACAGAGAACTACCCTGTTCAATCACCACGTGGTGGTTCTGACAGCTTGCACTGTGCTTGCCCTGGCAGAACAACAGGGGAGCAGGGGCATGGCACAGCACAGGGATGTCTGTCCTTCAGCACAGGGCTGTCTGTCCTCCAGCAGGCTGCATTTGTGGGGCTGAGGAAAAACAGGGCACACTAGTGGGACAGCACAGCCAGACAGGGGAGAGCCCTGGGAACGCTGCCAGGGGGGTGACCTTGGCTAGAGGCTGCAGGATCACATCCCCTCTCCATGCTGGCTGCTGGAGAGGGCGGGAAGCACCTCCAGCGAGCCTCACCTGGAGCTCCCCGCTGCTATTTGCCCCTGCAGGGAAACGCACAGGACAGCACTGGGGAGCTGGAGCAGCTGAAAGAGCACGGAAAGCACAGGGGCCAAGGCAGGAAAACGCGGGGAAGGGGTGGCCTGTGGAGAGAGCACCATCGGGGACAGCGCTGGGCCGGGAGGGCCTCTAGGAGCCGGGCTGGGCACGCACAGTGCCCGCAGCCCCCAGGGCTGGGCACGGCTCAGGCGCGGGCAGGGCCCGGAGCTGCGGGAATGGATGGAGGGATGGGAGAAGGAAAGGAGGAATGGATGGAGGGATGGAGCAGGGACACGTGGGCTCAGGTGGGCGAACGGGGCGTGGCTTGGCAGTGGGCGGGGCTTTGGCAGTGGGCGGGGCTCCGCGCTGAGCCCGCAGGTGGGGGCGGGGCATGCCGGGCCGCCAGGTGAGGGGGCGGGGCCTTCCCGGCCGGTGGGCGGGGCCGCATTGAGGGCCGGCGCAGGGCCCCGCTCGCCGCCTCCCCCCCGCGGCCCGCGGCGCGCACTCACCTCCAGCTCCCGGCGCTGCTGGATGTGTACGGCCGCCACGATGGCGGCGGAGAGCAGCGCGGAGACGGCCAGCGCCAGGCGGGAGCCCCGCGACATGGCCGGCGGGGCGGCGCGGGGCCGCGGCGGGGGAAGCGCCGGGCGGGTGGGGGAGCGGGAGAGCGTGAGGCGGCGCGCCCCGCCCCTGTCGAGCGCCGAGCGCAGCGAGCCAGGCCCGAGCAGCCGAGCGCCGATGCGGGGCGGGGCGGCGCGGCGGGAGGCGGGAGCGGTTCCCGGGCGATGCCGCCCCGGGACCGGGCAGAAACCCTGCTATGGGCGCTAAACTTGCTCCCTGCCGGGCAGAAAGCCTGTCATGGGTGCTAAACTCTCACCCTGCTGGCCGGGAACCCCAAAAAACGGGCCTTTGTTCCCTCAGCGCCGCTGGGGATTGGGTGCCCAGCTGTGCCCGCGTCTCCTGGGGCTGCTCCCTGGAGCTTCCTGGCAGCCAACACGAAAAAATGGAATTTTCTTGTCCGTGCAAGAAACATTTCTGGTTTTGTCAAGTGAAGACCACCAGTCCTGCGCTCTTCTCTCCCAGAAATGCCGAATTGCATGGGAGAAGCAGCTGGAGAAAGCTGCTCTTCAATTGTTTGGTTTCTTCTCATTGTTCAGTGTGTGGCCTTAAGGCCTCGTGTTTGCCAGGTTTTCGTGCTCTGAACACAGAATTATTCCATCCTCAGCCCTGTCTGCAGTGGAAGAGGGAAATCAAACACACGTTGGGCTGTGAGAGACAACTGCTCACTTTGAAAATTTTAAGATTTTAACAAAAATGCAACAAAGCACTACATAAGGAAAAAGCTGCAGCAGTGGGAACTGCCCCTCGTGCATTCCATGTGGTCAGTTTGTCTTCAAGATGGATGCTCAGTCTTTTATACCCCTGGGGGTTACATCAGCCAGTCCTGGCCCTTCCCAAAGTCTGTCAGTCAGCTCTTCTTTGCCATTTATCGGTGGAGACTGCTTGCTTCTCACTGGAGTGGAGCTCAGGTGTTGCCATGCCCAGCCCCTAAGCACCCCCAAGCTTTTCCATTCCCCACTGCCCCATGCCAGGGACACGTGTGCAGCCTTCTTTGTACCTGTCCTAGACAGCCCAGGCTGTCTGATGCCAACAATACAGGGGGGGAAAGGGAACTATGGGGAGAACAGAGGACATCTAAACTACAATAACATAACTACACATCACTGAAGCTTTTCTTAATATTCACACAATAGTTATCTTTTAATTGTGAGAGCCAATCATCTCATTATCCATCTATAACAAGACTGATCCCTCCTCATTATAATATTTTCCATCTCTCTGCTGAATGAACGTGATTAAAGTGAAAGGTGACATTAGTGGGGATGATAATATCCAATCGAGTCTCATGGCTGTGTTTCCTCTCATTAGGGTTTGTGCATGAGTGCATGTGAGGGGTCCAAGGCCACTGGAGTGCCAAGAACAGGGTGGAGCCTGGTGGATGGGAGCCAGCACAGAACCCCTGGCACTGGGGAAGGGTGTAGCTCCCCCAGCTCTACCCAACCCTGTCATTAATCCCTGGAGGGGCTAAAATCCCCAGGGAGCATTCAGGCTGCTCTTTCACAATCTGTTTCTGCCCTGGTGGTGCAGGTGCTCCTGCTCCTCCCGTTCTCCCAAGGGCTCAGCTCCTCTGCCCTGGTCCTGCTCTTCTGCTTTGCCCCCTTCCATGCTCTGAGGTGAGAGGAGACCTTTCCCAGGCCCGGATTAGCAGCTGGTCTGGTTTAAATCCCATTTTCCTTTCTCAGCCCGGCTGCAGGGGCAGGGGAAGTGATGTGATGGAGTTGGGAGGGCAGGAGTGCCCAGAGGGGATGGATGTGCACCACTGGGGGATGTTTTCCTGCTGGGGAAAACCTTCCCAGCTGTTGGTGGGCAGGAGGACACGAGAGAAGAATTCAGCCCGACAAACACAAGCCTGGTGGCTGTGTCCGTGAGACTCCCAAACGGAGAGGCAGAGGATGGGCTCAGGCTGAGGCAGAGCTGGATCAGGAGGGTTTCTCTGCTGGTGAAACCTGTGCTATGCCCAGAGCTTTGGTGCCCTCTTTCCCGTGCCTGGTTCCTCCTTAGCTGGCCCGGGAATAGCGGCGCTGATGGAGGTGGGGCCAAGCGCCAGGCGGAAAAGGGTTGGGTCACACCTGAAGGAGACTGGAAAGCTCAAGGCCATTTTCCCCCTGGGCAAACAGCTCAGATCTGGATAATGATCTCGGATAACATCTGCAGTCCATCCTTAGGGGGCATTTCTATCCCAGATTTCAAAGAAAATTCAGCTTGTGCAACCCGTGTGTGCCTCATCCACCCTCCACGCTCTTTCACAGGCATTTGGCACTCTCGTTGATAGGGCTGCATTGCAGGCCCTGTCTCAGCAAGACTCCCATGTTTGTTTCCCTGTTCCAGCCGTTCTGGTGGATGAGGAGGAGTTCTGGCCAGGCTTTGGGGCAGGGGTGGTCACTCTGAGAGGAGAAGGGGTGGCAGTGTCAGCTCAAGCCTGTATGAGCCACCACAAGAGAATTCAGAAAACGGGCTGCTCACTTGTGGCAAAAGAAAAACGACTGAAGCCTAAGGAAACCCCATGCAAGATGTGGAAGGGGAGGGAGAAAAGTTTGAGCACAGCCCATATTTCCAGGTTTGGTCCTGAACCACAGCCCCTTCCTGCTCCCTTTGCCCTGTGTAATGTGAGGAGCCAACCTCTCTAATCAAACTGCGAGCCAACAAAAAATAATAATAAAAATTTCAGAAACCATCCTCAAGGAACGTTTTCACAAACCTTTCTGGGTTTTGCCCCAGCGTTCTGGTGAGGTGCTGGCTGTCCTTCCCTCTCTGCAGAGGCAGCTCTCCCTCCCTCCCAGTGTGTGTCTGTGTGTCTGTCTGTGTGTGTGCTCACACGGGGGACTTTGCACACACCCAGAGCTCTCCACGGGGACACAGGGGCTCGCCTGCCTCAGTGGCAAAGAAGACAAAAGAAAGCCAAAACCTGAATTCAGCGAGTTCCGTTTGCCCTGTGAAGCTGAGCGTGGCTGAGTGTGGGTGTGGGTGCCTGCACGGCTCTGCCAAGGTCTGGGGTAGAGGCAGGGCTGGGGAAGGGGGCAGGCTGTGCCTGCTGCTGTTAGCATCGATTTTCTCCTTATGGCAGTGCTAATTATAGCAGCAAAAAGAGCTAATTGCCGTGTTGTAGGCACTTTTATCTCACCGTGATACCTTTTCCCCTCCCAGAAACAGAATTATTCCCGTTCCTCCGCAGCAGGGATGGACCTGCCTGTGGTGGTGCAGGCACTCATGGCCCTGGTGCAGCCACCCTGGCCCTGCAGGAAATGTTTCTGTAGGATTTGCTGGCCAGGGTCGTGTTGTTTGTAATCAAAAGTGCATTATGCAGAGGAAAAAATTGTAATGTGTAACTTTTTGTATCCCTCCTCTGTAATTCAGAGGCTTCTCTGTGCACAGAAACCGCAAAAATAGTTTAAATTCATGAAATGTATGTATTAAAAATGCTTTATTTTGACCAGGTCAGCCTCCTTTCCAGGCAGGTGGAGGTGTGCCTGGCTTGGGTGAGTTTTATTTTTTGATGGGCAAAAATGAAGTGAGAGCCCTTGGAACTCATGTCCTCAGCACTTGTACAGAAAGAAGCTATGTGAACCTGTTCTCCCCAGCAATTTGGATGAATTTTGTTGCTCCTCCCATTCAGACAAGCCCCAGGGCCCTCTGATAGTTCTTCCCAGGGAGCTGGAGGGAAGCAAATCTGATTGTCCTGAGATTTGAATGATGGAGTAAAGATAAATTAGGGGGGGAGATGACAGAATCCTTTACGAGCAAGGAGCACTGAAACATTCCTTCCGTTTGCAGGGCAGCCTGTGAAACAGTTACTTGGGATTTTAAATTCCCCCTGCACTTCCTCCTTCAGCCGAGAGGGCAGGAGCTCCGGGCAGCCGGAGCCGTGCTGCTTTTACAGCCGGGCTGGTGTGATTGCAGTGGGGCAGCCAGCCCCGGGTCACCTCCAGCTACACCAACTGAGCTGTGGGGCTGCCACCGGGCGCCAACACCTCATATTGCCCTGGCCAGAGGGGGAAAAGGAGCCCCCAGAGACCCCAAACTCCTTCCCTGGCATCACCAGCATGAGGGAATGAGGAGGGGGGTCTGGATGTGCCTCCCCACCATATCCCTCCCTGGTTTCCCCATGGCACAGTGGGTCCCTGCCCCTCGTTTTGGGGGTGCTGCAGAGGGTACCCGACCCAGGGAGTGCAGCCTGGCTCCATCCTGCTTGTGCTTCCCCTGAGAGGGGGATGAAAAGCGGGCAGAGGCCAAAGTCTGCCTGCTCAGGAGCAGGGAGAGGATGTAACCCCAGCAGTAATCATTATATTGGTGCTAATTGCACAGACCCTTGCCCACGGGAGGTGGGAACAGCGGCAGCGCTGCTGGGAACTGCGGGCAGGGGTGTTGCTGGCTTAGGGCTGGGCTTGTTCTCTCCTGGAAATCATTGTCAAAGGCTCTGGCAGATCAAACCCGTTGTGCACAGAACCCCAAAGTGGTGGCAGGGTAACGCTGCAGCAAGGCAGGAAGGTGTGGGGGGTCCTGGCCCCCAAAGCAGGGTGAGCTGCACCCCCAGCCCACACCCTGCCAGGGCTCTCCCATGGGCAGGAGGGGTTCTGGGGCTGCAGCCATGAAGGCAGCAGGGAGAGGAGGGCTCATCTGGGTGTGTGTGGTGTGGAGGGGCCAGAGCACCCACGGGTGCTGCAGCCAGCTCTGAGCCCCCTCGGTGGTCAAACCAGAGCTGTAAGGAAAGGGACCCAGCTGGGAGCGGCTCCACCGTGCTCCCATGGCCATTCCCAGCAGTGTGTCTGTGTGTCTGTGTGTCTGTGTGTCTGTGTCTGTGTGTGTGTGCTCCTCCTGGGCGTGTTGGAGCACATGCTCTGCCGTAGCACAGGCGGGACAGGCAGGGACTCTCCAGCAGCAGCGCGGGATCCCCGTTGGAAGCGGCCCTGCCCCTGCGCCAGGACAAGGAGCAGGAAAAGTGCATCCCTAACAAGGCAGTGCCTGACACAGGGCTGGGGACATCCTGTCCTGTCCCCTGGGC